GGAAAGGATCATAAATTTACTCATGCTAAGGTATAAATGGCCAAGAAGGATTAATGTGTATCCTATCTCATATAACTGGGGGTGGGGAGCAAATGAATTAACCTTTAATTGTTGAATTTTAAGTTATCAGGAGGCTGGTGGTAGAGAAATCAGCTAAGTTTGGCCCTGGGAGCAGAGGAACTTGGCAATATAACACCATAAATCAAGAAAACTATAAAAGCACACAAACAACAACAAACCAGCCAAGATGGAATATTCTGTTTGAAAGGTCAGAAACCAGGCATAAGAAGTGAAGTCCCTTGCCCAAGGCTCAGATAGCAGTTGATGGCTGACCCCATGGATGCTGGAGTAGTTGAAAGAAACCCTTATGGCCAAACACCTGCACTTGAGCCCTGGCTGCATCAACCACATGAGTCGCCTCCCAACCCCAGTTCCTCTTCTGTAAGGTCGACATGATGGTAGTACTTACCTCATGGGGTTGTAGCAAAAATAGAATAAGGTGATGATGCATTGAGTGAGTGCTCAAACAGTATTAGGCATCCTTCTCCTTATTTTTATTATTTGAAGCTGAGTAGGGCACTTCGTGCAAGTCCAGGTGGATGCTGAATATCCCCCAAACGCCCATGTGTTTAAAGGTTTGCTCCTTAACATGGTGTTATTGGGAGGTGTTAGAACCTTTAGGAGATAGAACCCAATGGAAGTCTTTAGGTCATTGTGGGTGGGCATGCCAATGAAGAGAATCATGGGACCCCAGACCCCTTCTCTTCCTCTTTTGTTTCTTGCACATGAGGTGAGCAGTTTATTCTGCCACATTGTTCCACCATTGTATCCAGCAACCCTATCGAAGGCCTAAAAGCAACAAGTCCACTCAGTCATGGACTGGAAGTTCTACAACTGTGAACCAAAACAGCCTTTTCTCTTTATAAGTTAATTATCTCAGATATTTTGTTATAATAGCAGAAATCTGACTAACCCACCAAGTAAGCCAGTGATCTGAGTAGGACTGACTGTTGCTGACAGAGATTCTGGCAGGTTTAAAATGTAAGTGGTACAGAAGAGAAAGAGTTATGAAAGCAGCATATCTGCTGGGCAGGAGCAAAGTGAGGAATATCCAGAATTGAGCTGCTGAAGGCTCATCAGTGGGTGAGTGGAGAGGCTGGGGCCAGAGAGGCAGAGGGACTGTTGTCATAGGCCAGGCCCAGGGAGAGATTTGAGTGGGTCTAACTGGGTCAGAACAGAGAAGTCAGGTGTAGTCAATAAATAAGTAGCAAGGTGCAGGGCAAAAAGTAGGTCAGAGAACAGAGACAAAGATATATACACTCACAAGGTGGCTACTTAGGGTGGCTGTAGCAGACTTGCTGGAACTTAATTGTGAGATTTCAGCTGTGGTCAAGAGCCCCTGTGTGTGTGTGTGGATGGCTTCCTGTCTGAATACCAAAGGAGTCCCCCAGCTTTTCTACCTCAGAATTTTGTCCTCAGTTTGGAAGTTTGCTCAGTGTACCTACATGCACAGTCATCGCAGGAAGTATGTATGGAGGTCAGGTGGTGGGAGGTTGCCAGTGGAGGCTGAAGGTTGTTGATGAATGTCCCAGCCTCCCATATTTCAGCAGGATAATTCTAGGAAATTTCTATCCAATTCTTCAGAAGGTGTCCAGGGACATTGAACCAATCATTTACAGTGATGACCAGCTCAATGACCCACCGTTGGTTGGCTTTCCCTCCTTCATTCTGACCTCTTCTTTACTTTCTCCCTGAGATAGTCTCCCTGTTAAACTATTGTGACCCCAGTCCTGTCCTTAGGCTTTAGGAGGGATCCAAACTAAATGGTATTATTATCATCTAACACAAACCTGGGAGCTAAGATTTTTTAAAAAATCTAGTTCAGAGTTTTTAAAAACAATATAGTAGGGGTTGGGGCTGTGGCTCAGTGGTAGAGTGCTTGCCTCGTACACATGAGGCACTGGGTTCGATCCTCAGCACCACACAAAAATAAATAGATAAATAAAGATATTGTGTTCATCTACAACTAAAAACAAAACAACATGGTCAACATGAAAATCAGGATTTTTTTGCCAACAGAAAATTTCAATAATAAAGATTAGATCATAGCAAAATCAAATGTTCTAATGTATGAACCAATAAAATGTGGACAGGTATATAAACTACAGAAAAAACAAAGTCTAATGTTAGAAGAAAATGCAAGCCATCCTGGAAATATACCCAGGACCACACAAGAGGTTGTTCATCGCAGGCTGTTTGTGGTAATGGGAGTTGGGACTTCAGGAGCTCAATACTACGGGCATATGTTGCTTAGAAGCAAAAACTAAGCATACCATGGTATTACGGTTTAGATTTAAAAATTGCCTCCCAAGAGCTCATGTGTTAGACAATGCAAGAATGTTCAGAGAGGAAAAATGATTGGATTATGAGAGGTGTGACCTCATCCTTTTGTTGGATTCATAATTTGAAAGGACTACTGGGTGGTAACCGGAGGCAGGTGGGGTGTGGCTGGAGGAAGTAGGTCACTGGGATGTGGCCTGGACTATGTCTCCACCCTCTCTTTCATCTTTGGCTGCCTTGAGCTGAACCGCTTTCTTCCACCACACCCTTCTGCCATGATGTTCTCCCTCATCTCAGGCCCAGAGCAATGGAGTTGGTTGACCATGAACTGAAACCTTTGAAAGCATGATCCCCAAATAAAGTTTTCCTCCTCTAAGCTGTTCTTGTCAGGTATTTGGTCACAGTGACAAAAAGCTGACTAATACTCAGGGCTATGTGAAGAGGTTGTAGAACAGTGTTGAGAGAAAACAGAAATAGACTAAGATCTATGGCACAGTATCATTTACATAAACACACTGTGTACAGACACTTTATTAGGAAGCATACAGACACTATAATACCTACCAAACACACTGCCATGACTGTCCACAGTAGATGGGGGGATGGGAATGGGAAATGGGGATAAAAGAGAATAAATGAACAAAAAAGAGGAACCTTCCATGGACCAGTCGCTGTGGAGTGTGAATGGAGGAGCATGGCTGCTATGGTTTGAATATGATTTGTCGCCTGCAAAAACTCATGTTAGAATTTAATCCCCATCATGAAGTATTGAGGGGGGGACAGTTAATTTGACTATGTGTTTGGAGGTAGGGCCTTTGGGTTGATAAAAGGTGGGTGTGTATGTGTGTGTGTTGGGGATTGAACCCAGTAGTGCTTTACGACTTATCTTTTATTTTGAGACAAGGTCTTTCTAAGTTCCTCGGGCTCTTGCTAAATTGCTGAGGCTGGTCTCAAACTTGTGATCCTCCCGCCTCAGCCTCCCGAGTAGCTGGGATTATAGGCGTGCACCTCTGAGCCTGGCTTTGGAGATAGGGCCTTAGGGAGATGATTAGGAGTAGCTGAGGTCATCAAGGTGGAGGACCCATGATTGCATCCTGGTGGCTTTCTTAGAAGGGAGAGAGGACACATCATACATACATGCTTGCTGTGTCTTGTCCTGTGATGTCCTGTGCTGCCATAAGATTTGGCCATCACCAGATACTACCCCTCAATTTTGTACCAGAACCATAAGCAAAATAAACCTATTTTCTTTAAAAGTCACACAGTCTATGGTATTGTGTTATTAGCAACAGAAAGTTAACAAAGATAATGATTAACTCAATTCTCTTTTCTGGGGTCCAAAATTAAATTAAAAAAAAAAACAAGAAAGAAAGTACAAGAAGACAGCATTATGACTTCAAAGTAGGAAATGTCTCTTAAATAAGGTATAAAATGAATAAATGATAAATTAAATATTGTAACTGCCTGGGAGAAAAAAATACCTATAATGATGTCAACACAATTTTGTAGCAATAGCAAAAACTTGAAAAGAAAAAAAAAAACCCAAAGGTTCATCAAGAAAGAAATGGTTAATTGTGACCTATTTATGCCACAGAACACTCAGGCATTAAAAGGACAACCAGGCAGATCTGCATGTATTGACAGAAGGCCCACTGTGTAAGGAGGCCATTCTCAGGGTGGCATAGGGTCTTGCTTGCCTCACCTACCCCTGACCCTGCCAGGATATAGCTACAGGTGAAAGAAGGAGGTCAAAGAATAGCAAGTACCAGCCAGGCATGGTGGCCAACCCCTGTAATCCTAGCTACTCTGGAGACTGAAGCAGGTAGATTGTAAATTCAAGGTCAGCCTGGGAAATTTATCAAGGCCCTGTCTTAAAATGAAAAATCAAGAAGGGCTGGGGGTATAGCTCAGTGGTAGAGAGTCCCTGAGATCAATACTCCATACTGCAAAAAAGAAAAAAACAAAACAAAAAATAGGGTAAATCTATGTTTTCTTCTGTACATTAGAAATGTATGTAAATACCTAGAATAAATTCTGGGATATTAAAACTATATGTGTTGAGGGCTGGAATTGCGGCTCAGCTGTAGAGCCCTCGCCTAGCACATTCAAAGCGCTGGAAGGTATAAAAAAGTGTGTGTGTGTTGAAAAGTAGGTAGGGAACATAAAAGGATTGCTACATGATTAGTTTCTCCATGGAAGGCTCTTCCAGAACACTTTTGAGCAATGAGGCCAATTTATCCAAATATCATTAGGTTCTTAAATATCATCTCTTCAGGCTCCTTTTCCTGTAGAAACGCCCTGGGAGAGGGCCTGCACTTCCCTGAGTTGTCCAGTTGGGGGCAGAAGCACCCTGAGCCAACTGCCAGGGCAAACTGCCCTGTGACCTGGAATTTAGGGATGCCCCCGCCCCAACCTCCAGCAGCAGACTTTTGGCCTGCTTCTCCACCATTAAACGCTGCTTATTTTGAAGTTTTCCAGTAGAGTAACAGGAAATGTGTGCTCTTGATTGCGTGTTTGTAAAACTGTGAACGTGCATTTGAGTTCAGGGTGAGAATCTAAGGAATTAGCCTACTTTATTATTATAGCCTAATAATTAGCCTAATTTTTATTATTATAATTATTATAATTATCATAGTAAAACATACTACAAAAATTGGGGGGTAAAGTTTTATTATTTGAAAAAATACAAATGCATCTCTTTTCTTACATGAACTCTTTATCCAAAGGACCATCATATTACACAAACCATTTCACCTAGATTAGCAAAATCTCATGGCTTTCAATAATATGTGAAATTTACTATTCCAAAAAAGAAAAAGAAAACACATTTATATACAAGTTGGTAACTCAGTTATTTCCGTTAAAGCATCCTCACAGTGAGATGGCCCAAGACCCCATGCCACTGTGTGGGCTTCAGATCATCCTAACCCACACCTTGAAACCTTGAAATGACAGTGGAGTTTTTACCACTAAGAGTTCATATACTCTGTGGGTTTTTTTTTTTTTTTTTTTTTTTTTTGTAACCACACTTTGACTTTCTGGATGATGGATGTTATTTCCACTTATTGGATAACAGAAAATAGTCACAGATCAGCTTCAAAAATCTCCCTTGGAAGAATGACTGAGCTGTGCTTGCATATTGTGTGAGTTGACTTACTAAAAAGTGAAGGCTAGATTTTAACTGTTTCTCCCTTAAGGAAGGTGATTATCTCCTCATAGAAATTTACACATTTAGCCCTTCTTGACTACATTGTTTAGGAGATTTGGTTCAAAAAGGGATAAAGTTATGGCTACCTGAGAAAAGATGTGTCTGGTTTCAATTATCTTTTGGGTCCTGTTCTTCCAGGTATGCTAAATTTAAATCCTAGAAAAATTCACTAGGTGAAACAGAGTTTGATTTTTTAAATAAAGTGAATTTGTTATTTTGGAAAAGGTCCAGATAAATAAAAAATTGAAAGATTTACTGACAAACCTGAGAACAAATATACCAAATATACCAAAAAAAATCAACAACCAGACAAAACCCATGCCCAAGGAAATGAAAACTAATTTTGCCATCAACCTAAAACGATTGATGAATACAGGATTCAGAGAGAAAAATGTGAAATCATTTTCTCAAAGGCATAATGAAGAACTTCCAAATGCAAACATCTTGGCAGACAATGGCTGAACTGAAGAATCAAAGCCACAAAACAATAAGCCACAGATGCAGAAGTTTCCCTGGGTGGTCAGGCTTCTGGGGAGGTGACAGCTTGCCAAGCAGCAGAGCCCCCTTCGAGAGTTCTGCAGTTGTATTCCTTCTCCCTCAGGATTGAGGTCACAGGAGATTGTCCTACTTTAAACCACGGAGCTTGACACCACCTCCAAAGTTGTCAACGCCTGAAGTTCCTTCAGTCTTGGTCTGTGTCGGGGCTCCAACGAATTGTAGGCTAAAAAGCATATCTTGTGGCATTCCTGCTGAGTTTTGACATGATGGAAGTCAAAGGCCATCGGAGGTATGAATACCTGTTTCACCAAACTAAACACGAACAACTTTATTAAAGACATGGCTTTTCCCAAAGGAAGGATAACAACAGACGATGTAGAGAAAATTACAACAAACAAAGATGCTGTAAAACCCTTCTGCTCCTGGGAGATGATACACTGAAAATCATGGGAGGGAATAATGGATATAAATACAAGAGCTTAAAACTATAAAACTCTTAGAAGAAAACAGTAGTAAATCTTCGTGATCTCGAATTTGGCAATGTTCTCTTAGATATCATCACAAAAGCGCTTGGTAGTAAATAGAAAAGAGGTATATAAATTGAATTTCATCAAAGTTAAAATGTTTGCATTTTGAAAAATACCATCAAGAAAGTGAAAAGACAACCCACAGAATGAGAGAAAATATTTGCAAATCATGTATCTGATGAGGGACTTGTAGCCAGAATATTAAAAAATATTGTGATTCAACATTAAAAGACAAGTAACTGAACTGGGGACGTAGCTTAGTAGTAGCATGCTTGCCTAGCTTGAGTGTGGCCTTGAGTTTGATCCCTAACACCTCAAGGGGGAAAAAAAAGAAGAAGAAAACTCAAATTTTCAAAGAAATAGATATATAAGTATCACTTATATATCTATTTAATAAATAATTCAGTATCACTAACTGGAAGGGACATGCAAATCAAAACCACAGTATGCTAGGAACAGTGGCGCATGCCTATAATGTCAGTGGCTCAGGAGGCTGAGGCAGGAGGATCACAAATTCAAAGCCAACCTCAGCAAAAAAACTTAGCGAGGCCCTAAGCAACTTAGTGAGACCCTCTCACAAAACAAAAATTAAAAAGAGCTGGGAAGGTGCTGGGGTTGTGGCTCAGAGGAAGAGTGCTCACTTAGCATGTGTGAGGCACTGGGTTCTATCCTCAGCACTAAATAAATAAATAAATAAATAAATAAATAAATAAATAAATAAATAAATAAATAAAGACATTATGTCCATAAAAGGGCGGGGGAGCTGGGGATTGGAGACCTGGCTCAGTGATTATGCATCATTGGCTTCAATCCCTGGTACCAAACAAACGAAAAATACAGAAAGATCCAACATCATTTCCACTAGAATGACTACAATAAAAAAAAAAGATAATATGAGCTGTAGCTGTAGCTCAGTGGTAGAGCCCTTGCCTAGCATGCATTAGGCTCTGGGTTCAACTACCAACACCTCAAAAAGAAAAAAAATATATAGTGTAATAACAAACACTAACAAAGATATAGAGAAATTGGAACTTTGTGCCTTGAATGTAAAATGTTGCAAGCTTTTTGGAAAACATTCTGGCAGTTCCCTAATGAGTTAAACAGCAATTCTGAAAACATATGTACAAAAACTTGTTTGAATGTTCATAGCAAAAGTTTTCTTACGGTCCCAAAGCGGAAAACAAGCCAAATTTTTGTCAACCGATGAATAGATAAATAAAATCTGGTATATCCTTTCAATGGAATATTATTCAGCTATGCAAAGAGTAAAATATTGAAAAAGGCCACAATCTAGATGCACTTTGTTGGGCTGGGGTTGTAGCTTAGTGGTAGAACATTTGTTTAGTGTATGTAAGAACCTGGGTTCAATCCCCAGCACTACAAAAAAAAAACAACAACCCCAAAACATTGTGTTATTTGAAAGGAGTCAGGCACGAAAGGCCACATATGTGGCTCAGAGGTAGAGTGCTATAAAATATCTAGAATAGACAAATCCACAGAGACAGAGAGTAGTAGCTAAGGGCTGAGGGGAAGTGGGAATGGAAAATGAGTGTTAATGGTATGGGATTTCTTTGGGGGAGTGATAAAATGTTATGGAATTAGGTAATGGTGATGGTTGCACAATTCTGTACATATACTAAAATCACTATATTGCACACTTTAGAAGGGTGGGTTTTATGGGATATGAACTATGTCTCAATAAAGCTGTTAAATAACTAAATTAGGAGGGACCAAAATAAATAAACGGAGTCACAGACTGCCTGACCCCTCTGTCAGATGAGCCAGAGCTCAGGGCGCCGAGTATCAACCTGGGTGTGGTGACCAGGCCTGGCCCACATACCAGCTGCCAAGGGAGGAGTGAGGAATAGTCCGGAAGAGGCACCCAAAGGCAGAGGCAACGCCTATCGGCATGTCAGTGCACACTGGGAAAATCCTGGTAGGTGGCAATCCATGGAAACTCAGGCAACCGGAACTGAGCAAGAGGGATGGGCAGGAAGGTAGGAGCTGAGGTATTCCCTCTGTTAAAGGGCATATGGCTTGCCAGATGCTGTGCCGCATGCCTGTAATCCCAGCGGCTCAGGAGGCTGAGGCAGGAGGATCTCAAATTCAAAGCCAACCTCAGCAAAAGCAAGGTGCTAAGCAAACTTTGCGAGTCCCTATCTCTAAATAAAATACAAAATGGGGCTGGGAATGTGGCTCCATGGTTGAGTGACCCTGAGTTCAATCCCTAGTACCCAACCTCCCCAAAATTAAAAAGGACTGTGGGTACAGCTCAATGCTAGAGCACATGCTCAGTGTGTGCAAGGCCCTGGGTTCAATTCCCAGTACCACAAAACAAACAAAAAGCCTGGGTTTCTAGTGCCGTCCTAGACACTAAATGAGTTGGACTCAGCTTATTTGGGGGGAAGGAGGCGGTTGTAGGGGTTGAACCCAGAGGTGCTCAACCACTGAACCAAATCTCCAGCCCTTTTTTATTTTACATTTTTTGAAATAGAGTCTTGCTAAGTTGCTAGGGACTTGCTAAATTGCTGAGGCTGGCTTTGAACTTGCGATCCTCCTGCCTCAACCTCCCGAGCAGCTGGGATTACAAGCGTGTGCCACTGTGCCTGGCTTGACTCAGCTTCTTGAGAAAGATCTGGAAATGCCAATTTGGGGACCTATGTGAGATTGAAATAATGGAGAAATTAGGCTTTTTTTTTTCTAATTTTTAATAGACATTGCAGAATGTACACTTCCATGTGTATGATAATCTTTCTCATTCATTTATTCATTCATTGAACAAACCCATACGGCATACCTTCTGTGGTCAATGGCCCCTGACCTTCCTGCTCCTTCTGTCTGGGGCTGATGCTCTCTTGGACTTTCTGGGTCTCCTCAGTGAGCAATACCTGCCTGTCTTACAGCATACCCTTAGTGAGGACAACTCACTTTTGAAGGATAATAGAAGTTTTGGGGTCTTCCAGTATCTTCAGAGCCAACATGGCTTACCACATCATGGTCATATAAGGAGGCTCTTTTTTAACGGAAACCAAGGTTCTCACGTGGTCACCTTTCTCTCATTTTTGTGTTTCCTTTCCTCTAGACAGAGAATCAGGGTGAAGGCAGCCATGGCATTCATCTCCCCTACCTTTCTCCTGAGTAGACAGATGGTGACCTGTGAAGGACTGAGACCTCCCAGAACAGCTGGTCCCTTCCAGAGTGACTCTGGGTTGCCCTCAGTCTTTTTCCCAACGTGTGCAGGGTTCTCCTTCTGAAGTTGTCATTTAATAGCAACGAGAGCCCCATCACAGCTGCCGTAACACATCACAAGACATGTACACCGCAGACACTCACAGAATCGAGCTGCAAGTGAAAACAGGAAGCAGCCCGGGCTTTCCATTCACAGAGGGAAGTGAGTGTCTCAAGGATGCCCGAGAAAGTGGCTCCCTAGCTTCTGCACAGTGAGTGTGTTTCTAAGTCGAAAGCATTGCTTCGCAGTATGTGGAGATGACCAGGGTTAGGTTCAATGTTTTAGGAGGCACTCACATATCTAATAACAACATGTGTTATGTCAGAAGACCATCTCTGCAAAGGATGAAGGGGGCTTCATTCATTCATTCATTCATTCATTCATAAGATGTGTATGAAGTGACAGGCGCTTTATGTAGACAGTGGGAAATCTAAAGTTGAAAATAGTCTCTGCCCTCGAGGGGCTGGCCATGGGGAGATAGATATAAACAGAATCTGGCAGGATATGGCCTGAAGGTAATCATGACTTCTTGAGCCACCCTGCTATATATCTTGGAGATCTGTCACAGCATCAAAGTCACTCTACTCCAAAGGCATTCCATGAATAGGCAGGGTTGGGGGCGTATCATCACCAAAGCTCCCTAATCTCACCTTAAAACACTTCTACTCTTCTCAAACTTCCACTCACATTGCAGTTGCTGAATCTCAGCTCTCATCTTGCCCTACCCCAAGAGGAGGGTCTGAGTTTTTTCCTCCTCCCCACATTGCTCCTTCCCTTGCAACTTGTTTTTGTTTGTTTGTTTGTTTGTTTGTTTGTTTTGGTTTGGTTTTTTTCGTTGTTGTTATTGTTTTTGGGTACTGGAGATTTAGCCCAGGAGTGCATTACCACTGAGCCACATCCCCAGCTCTGAGTTGCTTAGAGCCTTGCTAAATTGCTGAGGCTGGCTTTGAGCTTTCCATTGTCCTGCCTCAGCCTCCTGAGTGGCTGGGATTATAGGCGTGCACCACTGTGCCCGGCATTGCAAACTGGTTTTGTAAAACAAGACTTGACTCCAGGCACATCTCAAGATCAGCTCTAGGGATTCGATGTGGTTTGATGTTGCTGGACGTTAGTATGTAAGGTGGGAGCCAGTGAGAGCCCTGGAGTCAGAGTACCGTGGATCTCCTAAGCTGGGCTATTTTTCATCGTGGTTACACCTACCTTTGATTTTTTGAATCAGAATTCAAACAACACACACACACTTTCCCCTCTTTCTTTGATGATTTGGATGATTTGAGTGTGTTAAAATTTCATGTGTTAAAATTTAATCTCAGTTGTGAGATATTAAGAGGGCAGAAACTTAACCAAGTGTTTGGAGGTGGGGCCTTTGGCAGGTGATTAGGATTAAAGTCCTCAGGGTGGCACCCTCCCTCAATGAACATTGTGGCTTTCTAAGAAGAGGCAGAAAAACAAGGACACAGACACATGCATGCTTCCTGTGTCTGCCCTGTGACGCCCTGGGTGACCTCAAGACTCTGCCAGCAAAAAGGCCATCATCAGATAT